CGCTAGTAGTAACAGGTGCCTTACTAGTAGTAACAAGAAGCTATTAGAAACAAGTGCCTTACTGGTAGTAATAAGAACGTCTAATCTTTCTGGCATTTTCTCTCTCACTCGTTGATACTCTCTAGTTGTCTCTCTTCTCCGCTCTTCGGTGTCTTTTCTCGAGCTCCAAACGTTCTTTCTGCGGCATCGCACGGCCGCAGCTTTGGACTTTGAGAAAAGAGTGGCGGGGAAAGTTTTTCCGAAGACAAAACCTAAACCATTTGGACCAAAGGAAGGAAAGGAGAAGGAAATAAAGGCAAATAGGTTGGAGGCCATCGCTATTAGAAGGGTCAAAAGGCCTAAAAAACAACCAAACAGCATTGATGGACAACTTGAGGCACTTTGGCTCCGTTCTTTTTTGGCTCCGATCTTTTCCCCCAGGGCACAGACTCCGAAGCCTGATCCCTGCTGAAAAGCGACATAGCCAGATCACTTACTCGGCCAATTTGGCCGAGTTTGGGTCAGGTATTGTAAACTTGTAGATTGGCGCTTTGCAGCTATTTGTCGATGTGAAGTCTGAATCTGTCTGCCGTCTGAGCCACTATAATTCTAGGGTCTCCTTTTGCCTTTTGAATCTCTTGAAAGCTTGGAGTTCACTGACATGGCCACAAAGGCCGGGATCTATGAGTTGAAGCATGGTGGCTCCGCCCACGCTGAGCGCACGTTTCAGCTACCGAGAAGTGGCAATGGCCTTTTCACCAAGCCTGAAAGAAAACAAGAGCTCTGAGTGACACAGAAAACAAGCTGGACGAGATCAGAAAGCAGGTTGAAAACAAGAGTTCCAACAAAAACGACGTGGAAGCGACGAAATGGAAGGTTTGAGGCCTTGCCGCGGCTCACCCACCACTCCTTGGACCAAAAGCTTGCTAAGCTCGCCGCGAATGCAATTGTGAAATCAAAACAACATCCGCAAAGAAGGACGCCCAGTAATTATTTGAATAGTGCCAAATTGTGCAAAATTACCATTTCATCAAGAAATGACTCACAAATGATGCAAATAGAAGTGAGTTGCGTTGGCCGCTAGGTTTCTCAAGGAAGCTTTTTGCTCTGAAGCGAGGAGACTGCGTCGCATAATTTCTTCCAAGCCTGGCCTGCTGTAGTCTATTCCTCTTAGCCAACTACTCAGTTGCATTACTTGAGGCCAGGGGGAGGAGGTCGAAAGCTAGCCGAATTGCACCGGATGTGCTAGTTACATAGTCGGCAAAGCATGTAGGGATTACATGTTTTGGGAGGAAGGTTGCTATGTACATACTTTGCGCTAAAGAATGTGACATCGCTGACTGGGAAGGGTACATTGGAACAACCCGGGTGCACTCGTTGGCAGGCACGAAGATGCGTGATCGGCAAATCTGGGGGGTAAATTTACCCTCCGCTTTTGTATGCCTTGAGCCGGAAAGATGGGTAAGCATTTCTGACATCATACGGACTGTACATACACTAGGGCGTCCGTAGTGTAGGATAAGCACTGGTAAAAGGTATAAGGAGTAGAGTGTCTTGAGGAAATAGCCGGCTTATGGTTATGGCAAATCTGGGGGGTAAATTTACCCCCCGCTTATGTATGCCTTGAGCCGGAACGAGGGGTAAGCATCACAAGGACTGTGCATACACTAGGGCGTCCGTAGTGTAGGATAAGCACTGGTAAAAGGTATCAAGAATAGAGTGTCTTGAGGAAATAGCCGGTGTATGGTTATAGCAAGCCTGGGGGGTAAATTTACCACCCGCTTATGCATGCATTAGGTTAGAAATAGGGGTAAACAACTTGTAACGGTGAAGTACAAGTCCTATGCAGCAAGCAGCAGCCAGCAGCAGCAGCAGCAGCAGCAGCAGCAGCAGCCGCCTGCAGCCGCCTGCAGCCGCCTGCAGCCAGCAGCAACCGCCAACCAGCCAGCAGCACCACGCAGCAGCAGCACAGCATCAAGCCGCAGCAGCAGCAGCACTACCGGCAGCAAGCGCCACCGGCAGCAAGCAGCAAGCAGCAAGCAGCAGCAGCAGCAGCAAGCAGCAGCAGCAGCAGCAGCGGCGGCGTCGTCAGCAACAGCAGCAGCAGCACCAAGCCGCAACAAGTAGCAAAGCAGCAGCTACAAAAGCGGCAACCAGCGGCAGCAGGAAGCAGCAGAGCGGCAGCAGCAGCACCCTTTACACCAAGCCACCGTTTACACCCAACCAACCACGTTCACAGGGGAGGGGAGGGGAGGGGAGGGGAGGGGGGGGGGGGGGTGGTTAGCGTGATATATCAAGCTTTAAGGCACACAGCTCATCCCACTACCAATTGCTAAAGCAAAGAAGAACTCAGCTAGCATGCTAGCTTTCGTGACCTTGCTAGCTAAGAGAGTCCACAAGTGATGCCTCTACAAGGGTAGAAAAGGAAGAAAGGAAAAGGACATGAAACACAATTCTATTGTATTATTAAATGAAGAGAAAGAAAGCACAAGAAAAGAATTGAAAAAGAAACAAGGCTCAAGGGCTTGGTCATTCCTCCCCCACAACGAGCGAGTTGCAAGAATGCTACTACCCTCCAACCTGGCTTCCAACCTAGTAGCGATGGCCTCCAACTTACTTGCGATGGCCTCCAACCTACTTGCGATGGCCTCCAACCTGGCTTCCAACCTAGTAGCGATGGCCTCCAACCTACTAAGCATAAAGCAAGAATAATTTCAAAAAAACAACGAATGTCCGTTAAAGCTTAGTGCAATGATTGGTACTAGTATGTTTCAGGTCTTTACCAGCCAGTTACAATGCCTTTTTATCATGATTCTTCTCTTTTCGGTCTTGGTCGAGGCTCCGCATAGCGCTCCATGGTGAGGGCCTCAGTGCTAAGGCCATCAGGACTGGCGAAGATCCGTTGCAAATCCTCATCGCGTTCGAAGATCGCCTCACAAAGTAAGAGGATTGAGATAGGGAGAGACTGAGATGAGGATTGAACGCTTTACAAAAAAGCATGGAACAATGCGACATGTGAGCCAAAGCCTCAGAGAATAAAACGCTTCAAAACTTAAATCAAATCATTCTACAACTGACAATTGAGAACCTTTAGCATCACCAATAGGGAAAAAGAACTGGTCAGTCTGTGCCTGACCATGTGTTGTCAAACCTCGTCGGGCTGCTCGACCAACATACTGCAACATACCTAGAGAGGCCAAGAAAGCGCCGGGTTAAGGTGTGCGAGGATTCTGCAATTCATATTTGCCCTCAAAAAAAATGATCAACCCTTGTTCTTCACATAACTTCGCCCTTTGCAAATGAAGAATGAAGATTGTAAATTATCAAAGGGCTTCGTAAAGGGAGTTTGGCGATGATTGTTTTTTCATACTGAAGCCTTCGTGATGAATGCTAAATAGTACTGGCAACGCTTCCCAGAAACCGGAGAAATCGAGGATAATCAACAAATTGTACCCTATAATATAATGAACAACACCCGGTCGAAACACTGCCTGCGGGCGCTCTTCTTGACGGGAATCCATTCCGTGGTGTCGACCTGTTTTGTCTCCCATTGTCTCCCCGTTTGAAGCAGAGCCACCTGCCACAGACGTGGTCTCTGCAAAGGACTTTGTGACCTTGAAAATACAAAGGACTTTGCTGCACAGCAAAGGTGGCATGTAATTAATGTAGATCTAGGGATGTCAACAACCAAAAATGAGAACAAGAAAGCTGTATGAAGAGCGGAATTTGCATGAGAAGAGAGAGAGAGAGAGAGCGAAAGAGAGACAGTTGGGTCGGGAATACAGTTTTGGTGCGAGATCTCTGCTGGAGCTCAAACGAATGTGATCCAAACAATGACGATTCTGATTGAACCACCAAAAGAGTGCAAAATATAGGAATTTGATGGAACTTGGAATCGGATGGATGCTACCGTATCAGTGCTACCCAGGTACTACTACAGTGGATGCTGGCACATTCGCACCCCAGGTGAACTCTTTGCCAGCAGTGACACAGGCCAACTTGTTCCTCGGTTTGAACGATTTCTTGAAGCGAAAGAAGTCCCACGAAAGGCAAACTCTTATTAGCGTAGTAGCGGTCAATCAGAAAGGAAAACAGAAAATGAAAAAAGAAAGGTCCTAAAAGAACGAAAAGAAAACTACTAGTAAAGCACTTGTTACTAGTAGCGAGGCCCTTTGTTACTAGTAGCTTCTTGTTACTACTAAAAAGAATGTCTTAAAAGAACGAAAGAAAAGACCATTAGTGCCTTACTAGTAACAGGTGCCTTACTAGTAACAGGTGCCTTACTAGTAGTAACAGAAGCACTTGTTTTCCACTTAGTAGAGATCAAATAGCCAGGTGGCTGCGTCATGCTCTCGTGCACCCACTGCGTGTACACGGGATTCGAAGGATCCTGAGGTAGATGGCACGGTCACCGGGTCTTTCACGGTCTTTCACTTGTGACGATACGATCTCGATACCCTTTCACTCACCGATTTCACATGCTTTACTAATAGCTTCTTGTTACTACTAGTAACAAGTGCCACGCTAGTAGTAACAGGTGCCTTACTAGTAGTA